ATAAATAAATTCCAGAATTAAAGCTTCTTAAAGCTTAATTTATTGGCTCAAACAAGCAGAAACTGAAACCGATTCTAAATAAAGAGCTGCTGCAGTTAGCAGTAACTCAAACCCAGAATCAAGAATGACTTATGATTTTTGTCCATGTCGCGCCACTTTTGTGCTAAAATATCAAATATGTTCAAGTCATCATCAAGTCAACAGATGCAAGTCGATTCAAGTCGCAAGTCATTGGCGTTCAAACACGAGTCAAGTCGTAAGTCTTTATAGAGTTCATCAAGTCAAGTCAGGATTCATTAAAATAATGACTCGAGTCCAAGTCATGTGACTCGAGTCTACACCTCTGTAGTCTGGCCATGAACCATTAAAACAGCTCACTCATGGGGTTGAATCTGCACTTGTCTCCAAGCAATTGGCCAGCACAAGGACCAGTCAGAGCAACGAACACCTTCACATCCTCACCACTTTGGGCAATCTGTCACACACCATCAAAGAAGAAGCAAATCAATCCTTTTTTGAAATAAATGACTTCAGTACCTCTGTCTGCTCATGTCTGAAAATCGAAATCGTCCAAAGTTGATGCCGAAGCCGTTTGAGCCGACGCCGTATTTGTTATTTCTCTTCATCGCAGCTCTAGCAGTAAGCCCAACAAACGAACAGCTGTGATTGACGAGGCATGAAATTGTTCAGTAGACCTGTAACTCAGTAAATATAACTAATTACTTTAAAAGTAACTTTCCCAACACTGTATACAGATGTGTTTAAAATTGGACATAGGAACGTAGTCTGATAAGTTTTAAAAAGTCCCATAAATGTATTATTCTTCCTTCCCTCTTTTTCATCGAGGAACACTAAAGCAGCCAGAGGCACTTGTGGTTGTCTAGATGCTGTTTTTTAGGGGCTTATGCTCGCTCTTTAGAGATTCTGCCTGAAGGAGGTGTCAGCAGTATGTGTTTCCTGATAGGGCTCTAATCTGAGGTGTAAAGTTATATGAGGGATTTACGGAAGTGAGAGGCTGTCTGTGAGCAGGAGTCCATGGTGTCTGGAGCACATCATCATCTCCTGAACAACGTTGGGCTCTTCCAAGCCACACTCACTTGTTTTATTCCCAACTAGGAGCATATTTACTGTTTTTGACCACATTCTAGGCGTGTAATCTAGCTGGTTTGTGTTCTGCTCTGAATGTTTGAATGATTTAGAGACTCAGTGGAGAAAATGATCATTGCATGACACAGCTTTATGAAAAATTCCCATCATAACATTGAATAATAGTCCATTTCCGAGTGCAAAACTTAAGAAGCTTTGGATTAACTGTGGCTAAAATTAGCCGCCTCTGAGACCCCCACTTATCAAGTCAGACACAGTTGCATGAGTGGCCCAGAGGGTGGGGTTGGAGAGGCAGAGTGGATTAGCCTTGAACCTTTTTATTTTTCACTTTTTCCTTTTTCTCTGCTGCTCATAAAATAATTGGTCCCTTGTGTGATGTGGCAGAGGAGCGCAGTCAGAATAGACTGATTACTGAGGAGCGCCCACATGCCTTTTAGTCATGGCAACAAAACACATTCTTTAGGTGCTTAAAATAGTGACAGGTGGTTTCTCAGATTCGGTTTTGTTCTTTGAGGACTTTGGGGCATTTTTTATTTAAATAAGAGCCAAATTGGATTTACTTTTTTTCTGCACCCCACACCTGAGTCTCTGTTTTTTCATTATTTTTTGCATTAGTTTGTTTAATCCGATTAGGGAGTGTGGGAAAGATGGGATTACACGGGAAGAAAATATGCCAGTTTGTGCGAAAACCTCATGAAGGACAAATGAAAACAAGCTGCAACGCACCACGACAAAGACATGAGCAAGAAGCTTTAAAAATGATGATGTCCTGGGGTTAACGTGGAGAAGGAGTCAAGGAGGTGAAGAGGAGAACCAAATCTGGTTTTGGGGGGGAGAGAACGCGCAGAGCAGCAGTGGGGAGGGGGGTGACATGAGAGGGGAAACATTCCCCCTTGCCCACATTAAAGACATAAAAAAGAAAACAAACAGAAAACATGTCTGACATAAAGAGGCTGGTTTCCGCGGCGACAGCACAATGGCTGCCCCTCTCGGGGCCCTCGCCGTCCTGTCTGGGGCCCAGCACCAGCGAAAGTCACCACAGTCACAGGACTCATCGAGCGTGTGTGAAACATGGTGAATGTCATCACAGGCCCAGTGCTGTGGGAACCGTCATGAAAGAGACCCCACTCAGAAGCCACAAAGCCCCTTTCTGCTCCTTCTCCTTGGCTTTTAGCCTCTTTATTTATCTTTACATAAAGGGGTGGGGGGGAGGGACAACTCATTCTTTTATCCTCTGCTCTTACTCCATATATCTCTCACTCTAACAGTGTGACCCATGACTGCAGCCCTGCTGCCCTGCTGACACCTCAAATCACAGCAACCGTCCTCCATCTAAATATAACAACTTCAACATCTGGTTATGTATTCACAACTCAGCCAGATCACACAAATGCATCTCCTCAGAATCAACCCAGTAACCTGGCATTCAGAGAAATGCCTCGTATATTCAGGTTAGTCTTCAGGAACAGCGAGGATGGCCAGACAGACATTCCTTATGTGTCTGAGGAGGACATAAATCCTTCATGGGTCTGCCCCAAAGAGTGCCAAGCTCCTCCAGTGCCAGTTCCCATGCCAATCCAATCTCGATCCCCCTGACTAAGCGGCCAGCAGCAGGCTGTTTACAATAACGGTCTCATACTAACGAGGGATCAACTGACTTTAAGGGCAAATATCAGCAGCACTCGTATGCAGCAACTCCACTGGGACTCTTGGCATCTAGACATGGCTGCCAGACAGTAAACAAACATATAATTTGCTTAACACATTTTGTTTATCTTTGGTGATATTTTAGAAAAACCAGCAAATTAAAGAGCCCAGTGTCACCAAAACATGCCCTTGGAATGTGGTGCCACGGTCTCAAAGCTGGAAATGGTGAGACGAGAACATACGTGGATGCTCTAGATCTGCAGACATGAGTCGTCCTAAGGCCCGTCTAAAGAAATAACCTATGAAGTCACTGACTACGTTTACATGCAGCCAATATCCGGGTTATGATCGGGTTAAGGTCGGCATTCGGGTTTCTGAGTTGATCAGAATAACCCGTTTACAAGCATAAATAGAAAGAGTTACCCCTAACTTGCATAACCCGATTTAAATGCGGACGTTGGGGTAGCGTCAGGACGTATGGACTAAGTCCAGATGCAATATGCGTCATTTCCGGTTCTTCTTGTTCCGGTATCCGTGAAAACAACAACATGTTTCCCAGTTCGGAAGAGATAGCGACCGCGTTTGTTTGCGCTTTAGTTTCCTCGTCACTCCAAAAGTGTGGTGCTGTGCCGCGACTCGCCATGTTGCTCCCAACTTGTTGTTTACTTCCGGTGTTCTGGCGTGTACAAGACGTCTCGCTACTCAAAAGACCAAGATTCCTTGCGAACAGAGCATGCGCAGAACACACGCTTTGATGGGGATATCCCGATATGCGTTTACACGACCAAACATTCGGGTTAGAAAAGGGTTACCCCAGGTGTAGTAACCGTGTTTTTAAAAACCCGGTTATGAGCATATCCAGGTTTTTGGTGGTGTTTACATGGACCTGCGGAACTGGATTATTGTGAATATTCGGGTTTTAAAAGGGTTACTGGCTGCATGTAAACGCACTGATTAATAAGCACCTAAGTGCATGAGCCTCACAGCCTCGTGGACAAAGCTTTTCCTCACCTTGTCCTTTGGACTTGCTGAAGTACCTGAAGTAAGGCTGTCAGCCATTTTTTGTGCATATATCAAGTTAATATACTTTAACTGTAACCGTGTACTTGAAACTCCTATTCGTTATTTTTGAAGAAAAAATAATTTGTTTGGTCAAACTAAAAGTGTCAATTTGTGAATAACTGTGCATCAGTGTCATAAAAGGCACGTCAGTGGAGAACGTTTTTCTCTGATTGTCTGAAATCATCGAGGTTGCAACAATTTGCACCATGAATGAAATTATTATTTTTTCTTTGCAGTTCTGCTAAGGTTGCTTACAAATGAATTTTATTTTCATCAATAAGGCTTCTGAATAAAAGCTGGGGGCTCTTATTTTCCACTTCTATTTTCCCAGTGCTTGCACAGGTCCAGAAATGCATAAGCATTATTTAAATTAGACATTTTAATTGTTGTATAAATAAATGAATGCATGTACTGAAGTGGTGGTGATTGGTTCAGACCCAAACACAGGAGAGCAGACTGGCAGGAAGACACAGCTGTTTTCTTTGAATAGTGAAGGGTAAGATGATGCGACAGGACGGCAAAGCGAGGATCTGACAAGCAGGGTTTAAGGATCATCTGGGAAACAGGTGGTTGTAGGGAAACGAGGGTAGAGGAGAGCAGGGGCAGCAGGAGCAGATTCTGACACTTTTACTAAGTAAACACTCACTTTTACCCTTAAGGTAAGGGAACATGTTTTAGAAAACCCACAGAGGCAAGGGAAGAGCAGGAAAACTCTGCGTGGGCTGAGGAGTGAAAGGATTATTTTTATCTGACGGGAGTTGCTGATAAAACCTTCAGAAAAACTTGAAGACATTTCTACATCAACTTCTCACCTTCAAACCACTCTGCTCCTGTCTCCAACACCTTTAAACCACAGTGATAGTCCTGCATCAGACCCATCCAGCCTAGTGTGTGTGTGTGTGTGTGTGTGTGTGTGTGTGTGTGTGTGTGTGTGTGTGTGTGTGTGTGTGTGTGTGTGTGTGTGTGTGTGTGTGTGTGTGCGTGCGTGTGTGTGTGTGTGTGTGTGTGTGTGTGTGTGTGTGTGTGTGTGTGTGTGTGTGTGGACAGTCTAAAACTATGAGCTTGTTAATTTCCATAAGGGACTTTGCCTTGTTGTGGGAACGGGGAAGGGGGTGGCGGGTGGGGTGGGGGTCTTGAAGTGGCCAACCAAGATTGCCAGAAATCTCCCAGAATTCCATCCCACCCTTCAGTGCCAGCTCCCCTTCCCTCTCTCTCTCTCTCTCTCTACAACCACCCTTGATGCTCTTTGCACTCCCTCACCACGGACGCATTTTCACAATTATTCTGTACATTTATTCATTTATCTTCCGTTCCACTCATTTCCTGCTTTAGTTTTTATTTTCACTTTTCTTTTTTTTGCAACTTGGCCCGACGGTGGAGAGACGCTGGTAGGAGAGGGCTGAAATGACTGGAATGACTTCATTCACCAGTGATGCAGAGAAGAAAGTTCATCTCTGGGTAGGGGGGTAGGGGTGTGTGTGTGTGCGGGGGGGGGGGGGGGGGGGTGCACATAAAACAACTAAGATGAAAGTTTGACTTCATCCCTTGTTCTTTTTTCATTCTCTTTCTTTCTGTCCTTTTTTCAGTTTTCTGACGCTGAAATGAAAGCCAGATCTGAACGGAGGAGTGATTGGTAATGAAAGGATGTTTGGACAGGGGAGAGAGAGGGGTTTCTCTTTGTCCTGGCTCACACTGAGCTCCACCACAATCATGGCCACAATGATGACTCACACTTGGTTATTACAAACATGCTAATGATCATGTTTTAATTCTGTTACTGCTTTAGACACATGAGATGACACAACACTAAACGCCAGAGAGGAAAGAAAACATGAAAGTTAGCTGGGAGGAAGTGGAATGCTTTACATCTTGTAAAAGAACAAAAAAAGGAATCTGTTTTCATTTGATCCATGGTTGTACTAAATTTTCTTTTATTTTGAAAATATTAAAAGGCCTGTGGACCATATAGGACCAAATAAAGTTGAAAAGATGCTTTACTTATTGAAAAACTCAACACAAAGATCCGGCAATGGTGTTTAAACTAACACACCCTTCAGTCTTCCAGGCAGGAAGAGACACACTCAGCTGTATATTGTTTTGAAGGGGGCATGCCACTTGGCCTCCCTCCCTCTTTCACACACATATGCACACAGCACTGGGTCAGTCAGGCATCGCTCCTAACAACTGGTGCCTGGGTCTTACGTTTCCATGACAATGTGCACCAGCAATCTTCCCACAGAGGCAGCAACAACCTGTACTCTGTGTGTGTGTATGTGTGTGTGTGTGTGTGTGTGTGTGTGTGTGTGTGTGTGTGTGTGTGTGTGTGTGTGTGTGTGTGTGTGTGTGTGCGCGTGTGTGTGTGTGTGTGTGTGTGTGTGTGTGTGTGTGTGTGTGTGTGTGTGTGTGTGTGTGTGTGTGTGTGTGTGTGTGTGTGTGTGTGTGTGTGTGTGTGTGTGCAAGCGTGAGTGCATGCATGTGAGAAGGACAGAGGGAGAGTGAGAGCATGAGAAGTGTTATCTTGTCCAGTGAAGAGTACAGATGTTCAGACACTCAGAGCCGATTACTCTCTTGACCCCTCACCACTGTCCCCACACACACACACACACACACACACACACACACACACACACACACACACACACACACACACACACACACACACACACACACACACACACACACACACACACACACACACACACACTCGAATCAAATATGAATGTGGGAATGCTCAAGGACACACACACACACACACACATTCACACAGAGTTTGGAAAAGCTTAAATATGCTGACTGCAAAGTAAAACATCAACATTTAACTTTAAAGCATGTTAATGTTGAAAATCTAAATTCTAAGAATAAACGCTAAATAAATAAAATAATTACAACTAGCTATATGAGTATTTCTTAACATGAAACTAAATTTACTTATTTACCTGTTTCATTTTGTTAAAACATCCACATTTCTAATAACCTTTTAATATTTAGATGTAGCTGTGTTTAGTTTTATTTCTGAATGCATAGGCACAGCCTAATTACATATTTCGATTTTTAAATTTTTATTTAATTTGGTTTATTGAGTTTTGTTCAATTACAGGTCCTTCTCAAAAAATTAGCATATTGTGATTAAGTTCATTATTGTCTGTAATGTACTGATAAACATTGGTTAGACTTTCATATATATTAGATTCATTACACACAACTGAAGTAGTTCAAGCCTTTTATTGTTTCTAATATTGATGATTTTGGCATACAGCTCATGAAAATCCAAAAGTCCTATCTAAAAAAATTTACATATCATGAAAAGGTTCTCTAAACAAGCTATTAACCTAATCATCTGAATCAACTAATTAACACCTGCAAAAGATTCCTGAGGCTTTTAAAAACTCCCAGCCTGGCTCATCACTCAAAACCGCAATCATGGGTAAGACTGCCGACCTGACTGCTGTCCAGAAGGCCATCATTGACACCCTCAAGCAAGAGGGTAAGACACAAAGACATTTCTGAACGAATAGGCTGTTCCCAGAGTGCTGTATCAAGGCACCTCAGTGGGAAGTCTGTGGGAAGGAAAAAGTGTGGCAGAAAACGCTGCACAACGAGATGAGGTGACCGGACCGTGAGGAAGATTGTGAAGAAGGACCGATTCCAGACTTTGAGGGACCTGCGGGAGCAGTGGACTGAGACTGGAGTAGAAACATCCAGAGCCACCGTGTACAGGTGTGTGCAGGAAATGGGCAACAGATGCCGCATTCCCCAGGTCAAGCCACTTTTGAACCAGAAACAGCGGCAGAAGCGCCTGACCTGGGCTACAGAGAAGCAGCACTGGACTGTTGCTCAGTGGTCCAAAGTACTTTTTTCAGATGAAAGAAAATTTTGCATGTCATTCGGAAATCAAGGTGCCAGAGTCTGGAGGAAGACTGGGCAGAGGGAAATGCCAAAATGCCTGAAGTCCAGTGTCAAGTACCCACAGTCAGTGATGGTCTGGGGTGCCATGTCAGCTGCTGGTGTTGGTCCACTGTGTTTTATCAAGGGCAGGGTCAATGCAGCTAGCTATCAGGAGATTTTGGAGCACTTCATGCTTCCATCTGCTGAAAAGCTTTATGGAGATGAAGATTTCATTTTTCAGCACGACCTGGCACCTGCTCACAGCGCCAAAACCACTGGTAAATGGTTTACTGACCATGGTATTACTGTGCTCAATTGGCCTGCCAACTCTCCTGACCTGAACCCCGTAGAGAATCTGTGGGATATTGTGAAGAGAAAGTTGAGAGACGCGAGACCCAACACTCTGGATGAGCTTAAGGCTGCTATCGAAGCATCCTGGGCCTCCATAACACCTCAGCAGTGCCACAGGCTGATGGCCTCCATGCCACGCCACATTGAAGCAGTCATTTCTGCAGAAGGATTCCTGACCAAGTATTGAGTGCATAACTGAACATAATTATTTGAAGGTTGACTTTTTTGTATTAAAACACTTTTCTTGTATTGGTCGGATGAAAAATGCTAATTTTTTGAGATAGGAATTTTGGGTTTTCATGAGCTGTATGCCAAAATCATCAATATTAGAAACAATAAAAGGCTTGAACTACTTCAGTTGTGTGTAATGAATCTAATATATATGAAAGTCTAATGTTTATCAGTACATTACAGACATTAATGAACTTTATCACAATATGCTAATTTTTTGAGTAGGACCGGTATTTGGAAGAAATCCTAATATTTGGACATACCATGATAAATACTTAATATCCAAATATTTAAATATACAGTATTTTCCTCTGTCTCTACTGGCCTCTGTAAACAAATCCTTCAGTTTTTCTTAGATACAGTTGGTAATGTTAGAGCTCAAATTTCTCTTCTTTCCCTTGTTCCTGTTCCTGTCATTCCCACCCAAGACCTATTCAGCAATTTTTAACCCACCTCTCTGTCCGCTCTGGAAAAAACTATCGCTACCATGAAACCCTCTGGCTCTCCAGATGATGTTGTTACACGTCGTCTCCTGAAACATGTGCTTCTTTTGACTGGCCAAAAGGTGCTGGATGTAGTTTGACCTTGGCTGAAGTTCCTCATGCCTTCAAACACGCTGTTAAAACCTGGTCTCAATTCCACTGTTTTCTCTAATATCCGACCCATTTCCAAATTACTGTTTCTATCAAAGGTTCTTGAAAATGTTTTGCATGAACATTTAATACTACATCTAAATGTCACAGGCATGACATTTATGGCTTTGGATTCAGGGTCCCATGTGGTTCTGGTACTTCTTGATCTATCTGGAGCCTTTGATACAATCAATCATAACATCCTGATCTACAGACTACACACATGAGCTGACATCTCAAGGTTTGGCCCCTGACTGGTTTAGGTCTTACTTTTCTAACAGGAATCTCAGGGTTATGCTCCCTTCCCTGGGGAGTCCCTCAAGGTTCCATTCTCGGCCCGTTACTGTTCTCTGTCTACATTCTGCCATTGTCAGACAGCATGCTGTTTCATACCACTTATTTCCTGCCAAATCTATTTTTCACTTAAACCCACTGACTCTACAAAAGATCTGTTTCATTGTCTTCATCATGTCAAGGAACGGCTGGCCGAAAACTTCCTTCGTTTGATTGACTAAAACGCTAGAGCGACCCAGCCACCTGAACTCAACTCTCTTTCTCCTAATGTAACCTCTTCTGTTTCCATACATTGCCCATATTGAAAGTAATGGGGGTGGGGCAATCCCCCTATTTAATGTTAGATTTAATAAATACAAATTCACTTTTAGGTGTAAGTTCATGAGTTTAGATATGGCTCCAAAAAGTCACAATCTAGTCAAAATACATTCCATTTAGGATTTATTTTAAATATTAAATTTTTTTACATAATTTTCAATCTTAATATCAAGTAAAATTATGACATTTCCTCTAAATATTCAACATTAAGTCAAACTATGGAAATTTATGTCAAAAAGTTCAACTCTAAATATAAATGTGGCAATTCTAAACAAAATATTTAGCTAACATCCCAAAGTTTTATATTTTATATTTCAAATGTCATTTTATATGAGTAGATTTGATTTTAGAATGTCAGATTAAACTTCTTAAATTTAGTATTTCTTCTAAATATACATTTTTTTTACTTTATTTTGGGGGATTTTGATTTAAAAATTCAGACATCACTATCGTAATTAAATGAAATGGTGAAAAGGTATTAGGAATGGTGATTCAGAAAAGGGTAGAATGCCTTCTCCGGGTCAGGGATGAGGTCCTGCCCCAAGTGGAGGAGTTTAAGTATCTCTGGGTCTTGTTCACGAGTGAGGGAAAGCTGGAACGTGAGATCGATAGGTGGATTGGTGCTGCATCTGCAGTGATGCGGGCGTTGTACCGGTCTGTCGTGGTGAAGAGAGAGCTGAGTCAGAAGGCGAAGCTCTCGATTTACCGGTCGATCTATGTTCCTACCCTCACCTATGGCCACGAGCTTTGAGTAGTGACGGAAAGAACAAGATCACGGATACAAGCGGCCAAAATGAGTTTTCTCTGCAGGGTGGCTGGGCTCTCCCTTATAGATAAAGTGAGAAGTTCGGTCATCCGGGAGGGGCTTGGAGTAGATTCGCTGCTCCTTCACATCGAGAGGATCCAGTTGAGGTGGCTCTGGCATCTGGTCAGGATGCCTCCTGGATGCATCCCAGCTGAGGTTTTCCAGGCACGTCCAACCGGGAAGAGGCCTAAAGGTAGACCCAGGACATGTTGGAGGGACTACGTCTCTCACCTGGCCAGGAAACACCTTGGGATTCCCCTGGAAGAGCTGGCCCAAGTGGCTGGGGAGAGGGAAGTCTGGGCCTCTCGATTTAGGCTACTGCCCCCACGACCCGATTCCGGATAAGCGGATGAAGATGGATGGATGGATGGATGGATGGATGGATGGTGAAAAGGTGACTTTTCCACAGTATGAGGGGCTGAATTTGATAAAATGTACCTGTTAGGTTAGTAATGCTTTATGTTATAACAGACTCTCTCTAGATAAGTGTGTGGTTAGGGTGAATGCTGTTTTATCTGGGTTTAAAACTGCATTCTGTGTGGTCAAAATTAGACATTTGCACAACTAAATAGTTTGCACAGACAGTATTTATAGGTTTTTAACAAAAATAAAAAATGCCCCAAAAAGCAAGGAAATTATAAATTATAATACTTTTTAAATTTCCAAACAATTGTGTTTTTGATCAGCGACATCAATAAATCAAGTTTTAGAGAGTGTCACACCTTAATAATAATAAATTGGTTTTATGCTTCACATTCCCCCTCCCTGTTGCTGCTATTGTTCAACACAACACGACGATTAAAATGGACCCAAAAAGTAAGGAAATAGGATGGATTAAGAGCAGGATGAGAGTGGAGGCTAATTTAACTGTTGATGACTGAGCAAAGGGGAGGAAGGAGGGAGCCAAGGGGGGTGTGGTGGACGAGAAGGAGGGTGACAAGCCAGGGAATGGTAGATTAAAGGAAGGGGAGGAGGAACAATGAGAGGAGGCGGGGGAGCTGAAACTGGCAACCCTGCCCCAAATGCCAAAGTCCCATTTTGTCATTGGGTGGCTGTGACAGAGAGAGTGAGCCAAGAGAGACAGAGCAGAGAAATATGCTGATTGGATGTCACTGATTGTGTAAAAGACTAAAGCGACTTGTGAAGTTTCTTAGTTGTCATGGACCCTTGGGGGTTGCTGGATCCACTCCACTGATTCTCAGAATTGGACTGAGGACACAGGAAGAAATAACAAAAAACGAAATAAGCACATGTGACGAGAACTTACCAAGGACAACAAGGCTTTTATAAGCACAATACAGAGACGGAGGAGACTCGAGTGCCTCAGAGCCTCCAACAAAGCAACAGGAAGACTAATCATCCATCCATCATCTACGAGAAAAATAAGAAACATGAAGAGACCGCACGAGTACAGCTCCCCGGACTCCGACACTGACGAGTTCATTGATGTGGGACAAGAAGACAGCTACTGGTAAGAGTCTACCAACAACACCTGAAACGGGAGTACACTCCCTCCAGTCGCACTAAAGTTATACTGCTTCATCACACATTTGCTCTAAACACATCTGACTTTGAGAAAAACCTGTGATCCAAAATCAAAACTCCAAAACTGCTGAAATGTTGTTTATAGAATAGAATAAACTAGGGATGCACCGATACCGATGCAGTTGCCTGAAAGTGGATTCACTGTGACTCGTCATTTTTGTTCACCTAATATTTTAGTTTTGGGATCATTCATATTCATATATTTGACTTTTTATCTACCTCACAGTCTTTTCCTGTTGAAAGCAGAGAAGAAAATAAAACCTGTGTTCCAAGTCATTTCATTTTTCTGTGTGGTAGAAGTATCGGTATCAGTAATCTGTATCGGCGAGTACTCAGATCCAAGTATCTGTTTGGAAAAAAGCTGTATTGGTGCATCTGTAGAATAAACCCTTGTTATCACACCAATGAAAAGTGTTACACAGCTTTTACAGCAAATGGAACAAAGATAGTTAAAAATAGCAATCAAGCAAGCTAAATTTGTATGTACAGAACATTTTTAAAATGTACAAAAAGGTATAAAAATGTACAAAGTAGGAAGTAAAAAATCTACTTTTTATGTTATTTAAAGGCTGAGAGAAGCGACTGGAGATGGTTTTGGCAACCTAAGTGTTAGAGTTAAACTCAAGTGGTCCAACTGTGAGTTGTTGTGGAATAAAAGTGTGTTTTCTCTTTCAAATAAAGTGTTTTATGTCAGAAAAAGAAACACTCGCGTGATGAACGAGATAAAATGAGGCCTTTCAGGTATGAAAGCATGAAATCGTGTTTTACCCAGAGTGGCTTTGACACAAATATGTGGACCCACAGCAGAACACAGGATGAACTACTGTAGTTGTGTGCATAAGCTTAATAAAAACACTTCTTTGTCCTGTTGTCCCTAAAACAAATGACAAGAAGCTTATTTAGCTACAGGGGCACACAAACGGGAATACCTACGGACCTGCTACAAGCGCGTTTTGGGTCGTTTCTGCCTAAAATGTCATCTAAAAACAAATATACAAATAAAAAACGCCTAAAAACAGAACCGCTTTAAGCTTTTCTGTGTTCTACAGCATTTTTTTAAACAAACTTACATCTAAAACTTCGCTGCTCTCCTGCTTCTTTTCTCTGTTGAAAATCCCAACGGCTGACACAACTGAGGATGCAAGGATGAGTATCCTTCGATATCAGACAGTACTCGTCGCTGTGCCGTGGCCTCATCAACCTCAAACTGTGCCCTCACAAGCGTCCTGCCCCTGGATTCGGACGCAGCCTGCTAGTCCCTGAAACATCTGAGCTTTTCTTCTCCTCAGTACGACTTGCAAGGCATTCATTCCTGCTGGAGACCACAGCAAATGTATCGATGAAACGAGTCTCCCACACCTTTAACAGAAACAAGTCATTTTTAAAAATAAGTTCTCATTTGACCTCAAAGCAAAGAATAAGGACAAGAATCACAAAAAGTGAATTTTTCTAGTAACTTTTGTTTTTCAGTTTTTTTATTGAAGAATCCAGTTTACACTGGAAATGTGGCTGCTTTATTTCTTATGCTCATAACTGGATTTCCTCTGTTGGAGCACACATGGTGGAAACTACAAAGCTTCATGCTTGGCACAAAATACAAAAGTTGCAGAAGAATCTTTGAAACCTTGCATGCAAATGTGAGTGAAAAAGCTGAGTCACTCAACCGCAAACTGGTCTCACAACATCTTAGAAACAGAAAAATGAATCTGAAGACTGTACGCCTTCTTTAAAGGTCCTAACTTTATATCGCTGTGTGTTTCTTTTTCTTTTTTGGCATTTTGGAAGATTGCACACATCTGGATTTTCGCAACACTGGTGTGTAAAAACTGTGGCGTGTCACCAACACAAAGCCAGGCAGGGACTTTAAAGATTTTGTTTAGCTGGATTGCTGCACGATGTGCAAACAGAAGGCAGCGTTGCCTTTGTCGTCCCCATCAAACATGATGGTAAACAAAAACACCCATCTGAACTAGTGGTGCTTGAGTTAAAATCCGTTCTGATGGGAATGTTTGGAGGGAACTCCGGACTATTTTGGGCCTCTTAAGACGAGAGCGGCACGTCCCCGGGCCGAACAGGCATCCTCCTGACCGTGCTCAGATGGAAAAGATCAGCGTTCCATTTCACTGAGACTGAAGTATTCAAATAAAAGCAATCTTTCATCCTCATCTGTACCCAAGAAACATATTTAAGGAGCATAATAATCCCAATATGAATTCTCTCTCTTTTTTTATATTGTTGCTCTCCGTGGTGCAGCCCAGTCACCGGGTCCATGTCTCCGGGCAGCGCCTCACAGATTCTGGCACGGAAGAAGCGAAGGGGGGTGAGTTAGTGTTTGGATCTTTGTGTTTTTAGTCCTGTCGCTTGGCTCTGATGGACCCTCACCCTCTGTTCTTCCTGTTGTGCAGATCATAGAGAAGAGACGCAGAGACCGGATCAACCACAGCCTGTCAGAGCTCCGAAGGCTGGTGCCCAGTGCTTTTGAGAAGCAGGTATTACTGATTTAATTTTCTTGGCAACAATCAGACATTTTTCTGTTATTGGAAATCATTTTCAGGCACTTAAAATGGTCCACGAGTCAGTGTTGCAAAGTAAGAAGGATGCATATTTCTCCCGAAGGGTTCTTCTAAACTGGAGAAAGCTGAGATCCTGCAGATGACTGTGGACCATCTCAAACTGCTGCATGCCATGGGAGGAAAAGGTACAGGAACAGAAAGTCACTCATTCCTGGAAAGCAGTAGCTCAAGAGGTAGAGTGGGTGGTCCAGTAATCGGAAGGTTGTAGGTTTGATCCCAGCTCCCGCAAGAGAATGTTGCTGTTGTGTCCTTGGGCAAGACACTTAACCAACCTTGCTTGTTCGTGGTGGTCAGAGGCACCTGTGTTCAGCAGCCGCTCTTTCATTAGTGTGCACCAGGGCAGCTTTGTAGCTCATCATCACCAGAGTGTGAATGGGTGAATGACTGACTGTGTTGTGAGGTGCCTTGGGGGGTTAGGGTTAGAAGGTGCTATACAAATACTAATATATATGTATATGTATATATATATATATATATACACATATACATATATATATATATATATATATATATATATATATATATATATATATGTATATGTGTATATATATATATATATATATATATATATATATATATATGTATATACATACCGGTATACATATACTGAGGCAGCAGCAACACTTGTCTGTTTTGGTGGTGGTCAGAGGGGTTGACGGTGCTATAAAGCAGCCTCGCCTCAGTCAAGATCAGGGAGGCTGTGGCTAGACTGTAGCTTACTATCACAGGTGGTGCATGAATGTGAGAGTATGTGAACAATGGAAAGCACCATATAACTTCAGTCTATTACATATATTATCTTTCTTATTATTATTGTTATTATTGTTATTATTATTATTATTATTATTATTATTATTATTATTATTAGTGATAAATGTCACATTTGTAGGATCTGAAGAATTTTCTGTCATTCTCAGGTTACTTTGACGCCAGAGCTCTTGCAGTGGACTACCGGATCTTGGGTTTCAGGGAGTGTGTTGGAGAGGTGGTCCGGTACCTCAGCTCACAGGAGGGGGAATCTCCAGACCCCGTTGGTGCTCGCCTCGTCTCCCACCTCTCCCACTGTGCAAGTGAGCTAGACCCCGTCCTCTTACAGTCTCCCCCTTCCTCACTGCCCTTCCCTCCCTGGCCATGGGCCTCCATCCCTCAGATAGCCCCCTCATCACCAGCCCCTGCCTCTTTCCCTACCAGGGATCTTGCCCTGCTAGGGAGCTTCCCATCACCTGCATCCCTTCGACTCGCTCCGCTGACTGGCTGCCAGCAGGGTGCGCCACCGCTCCTTGCACCAACAGCTTTGGCCTCCGTCCACAGGATTGGATCCTCCCTCACAGCATCTCCAGCCCTGGCCTCCTCCAGACCAAGCCAGCCCTCCCCCCACAGCACCACTCCTTCACCACTACCTCTCTCTTCTCTTCCTTCTTCTACCTCCTCCTGTATTTCATCATCTTCTGCCACCCCAAAAATCTCTTTCCGTCCCTTTGCGCCTCTTGGGTCTCCCACGTCAAAGCACAGAGGCTCAAATGGATCAGCCAAGGCAGCCTTGGGATGGACGACTGAGATCGGAGCTTTTTGAGAGTCAACAGAAAGAAAAGACTGTACAGCGAACATGGACCGCACGTAGTCTCTTTTGGGGGACTCTAAAAGCCATATCAGAAGATGAATGAAGTTTTAGTGTCTCACAATCATTAATGATGGAATAATGAATGAATGTGAAGAAATAGATTAGATTTATTCTTGCCTGCATTCAGTAGTCATTTATGCTCACCAGAGTGTTGTTCACTGATATTTGAGCTGTGATATTTCTTTTTTTTTTCATTCATATGTTTGATGACATTATTTTTCTTTTTGTTTGACAAAACCTCTATAAAGATAAGTGCCTTCACGTTTGCTCATGTTCTCGTTTCATGACTTCTTGAGTAACAGCAAACATGTTTAGCCGACTACGGACGCAAATAGAAAAAAGGAAAATGACAAAGAACTTACTTGTTTATCTGGATCTGTCACGTCTCCAAACACTGCCTTCATGTTCCACAGCCGTGACCCCCTTTGAGGATATGAGCTGTATGCAGTGATGGCTTATGGGAGCTGTGGTCTTGTGGCTGCAGAGGATAAACATGGTGGGAGAGGGTGATGCCTTTGGGATTCCGCGGTGATGCAAACAGACCCATCACTGTGCCCTCTAACTGGCAGTCCCCTGTAATTAACTTCACCCATATATCAGCCCGTGGATCCCTCTGCTGTTTATCTTGCCATTCTTTCTTCCAGTCATGTGGTAGGCCAACGGATGTCTTCTCTCCTTGTTTCTCCACACTGCTATGGACAGAAGAAGAGAGCAGGAGGATAAAACAAAAGGTTTGTGATTGGGACGGATCTGGCATAAGTGGACAGTGACAGGGTAGGCGTGGGGAGCAGGGATGATGAGAGGAGGAAAAAAAATCTAATTTTAATGTAGTGGCTTCTGGAGTTCTAGAGCCCCCCAAGGCACTGTGCAGCACAGCTGCCCTTGAGCTCGAGACAGAAGCAAGGCTCTAGTACTCTGACTCTGACCTCCAGCAGCAGGCAATATGGGTTAAGCGTCTTGCTCAAGCACAGGAGGACAGCAACGGACCGAGTGGGACTCCAACCTGCAACCTTCCGATTACGGGGTGCACACTTAACTCCTCTGCTACTATCACCTTGAAGAAAGAAGTGATGTAAATCACAGAATAGACCCCCCACCCCCACCCCCACCCCCAAAAAAACAAACAAACAAACAGTTGTTTCTTTTAGAAGGTATGTATTTGTGATGCATCTCACCAGAGCTGCACTCATAAGGTGAGAGGACAGCCATGGATGCACCTTTCTCAGTGGCCTAGTGGTAGAGTGTCCGCCCTGAGACTGGGAGATCAGGGGTTCGATTCCTGGTCGGGGTCATACCAAGACTTTGAAAAAAATGGGACCCAATCCCTCCCTGCTTGACACTCAGCATTAAGGGGTTGGATTGGGGGGTTAAACCACCAAATAGTTCCCGAGCGCGGCTTGTCTGCAGCTCACCGCTCCCCCAGGGGATGGGTCAAATGTGGAGAATAAATTTTGCGCACACACCTGTGTGTGTAACAACTAATGGGACTTTAACTTTTAACTTTAACGTGTTTACTCCAGGACAACACTTTGATCTACATCAGCATGCAATGTTCATGGCCTGTGGTCCAAAACTGTGTTTTCAACAAAGTGCATTTTGTTTGTTTTAGCGAATGTGCTAGTGCACGCTTTGTGTTTGTGTGTTGTTCTTCCTCTGTTTTGCGTGTAACGTGGCGTCAGGACGGAACCACAGTGATGGCATGGCTCTCGTGTGAGGCCGGCTGACAGTCAGACGGATGGTGTGGTGGTGGAATGTTTCTGGAGGCTGCCTGCACACAAGTACACCGTTTCTTACACAAACACGAGCGCACGCAAGCTGGCTGGCACCATTTTTGCCCCTGAGTCGAGACCCAGAATCACCACCACTGCTTCCAGGAAGAACAACCACAGGCACATTGCTCTGGGTTTCCCACGGTGGGAAGGGAGACACAGAAAGAACAGCAAAGAAGGATGGAAGGGAATGAGACAGAAAGAATGAGGGAAGCAGTGTGCTGTGAGGAAAGGGAGCACAAGCAGTGTCAGGAAAAGAGGAGCGAAGAAGAAAAACCTCAGAAAGTGAGGGAACATTTTTACTCACTTATGTCTGAATCTAAGCATCGTTTTATGCTTTCCGTGTTAGTTTCCATGAGTTATTCCTCCACAGACAATGAGCATCAGCTTTCTCACAAAGATATGGAAGACATTTTGAAAGGGACCTGCACAAGATAGTGGCCATGCGTTATAGTGGCCCAAAGCATAATGTTGGGGTGACATTGAGGAAAGCATCCACAAATCAATATAAACCACATGTCCCAAGCCATTCATTTAGATGCAACATGTGTGGGGGTGCATGCCGTCATTTGAACACACCAAGCCCCCACAATGCGGGTGAAAAATTGAAGCAAACACGGGAATGAAATAAACTGCAGTTCCACCCTCATCCACTAGGGGCTGGTGTCAGAAGTGAGCAAATCCTCATTGACTCCCATGTTAAAAATACCAATTTCACAGCAGAAATAAACATGTTTACAGCCTGGTTCCAAAACATGTTTTAGGTTTAAATGATCTAGTTTACACTCATGACAACTCTGAGGGGGTGAATTTTTTTCTCTCTTCTGTTTAAGTGTATTAAAAGCCTAAAATTCTGTATAATTAATGAGCATCAGACCCACGTGACCACAGAGCTAGATCCAGGGAAAGGCCTCAGTAGAGCCTCAGCTTCGCCTGAAAACTGTTCTGTCATTTTCAGTCTCTCAACTTAGACCATTAGTTGTAGCATTTGTGCGTTCTTTTTTGGATATTTTTTTTGTGCAATTGTTGGACAAAATGACTTGCTGTGGCATTAATTGCACTAATAGAGCGTCCAAGGAGTCTCCACTTCATTTTGTTCGGTAAGTAAAATTATATTTATGTATTTTAGGTCACTGCCGAGCTGAGCTTAGATTTTAACATGTACTGTTTAACCATGAAATTTAAATGTAATAGGGTAAAACCCAGTGCATTTAACATAATGCTGCACTTTAGAAAATGGGTTGAAATATAACATGTTGGTGGAGCTGGGTTCCGACTATCGGCTTGTGGAGCTCTCGGGAGATCGATGTTTTTCACCCGTTCTCGCCTCCCCGCAGCCCGGTGCATCTGTCTGATGGCGGCTCCAGTCTGCTGTGCGGCTGCCGGCTTGTGGAGGTCTCGGAGTCCTCTGTGTTCCACCCGCTTTTACCCTGCGGTCAGCCCGGCGTATCTCTGACTCAGAAGCTCTGGTGTTGTGCAGTTAACTCCGGTTGTAGCTAGGTTGCTACCTCCGTCAGCTTAGCTCCCACCTCCGCGTTAGCTTTGGGTTAGCTTCAGGTTAGCTTGTAGCTAGTTCGACCGGGTGTCGTCAGTTGATCCCAGCCTTACAGCCCCACCTTCAGCTCCACCTCTCTTCCCTTTTATGGAATTGTCTGGGCTTGACAGAACCTGTGACACGGTCAAAATGGCGGTGGTGGCCACCTCCCATTTTTCTTCAAAAACGTGCTATTGGAGCCTATGGAAACCCATTGTCCAATACTTATATGTCGATGGAACACATAACGAACATGCTTAATGAACACACGTGTAATGTGTACTGAACAAACACAAAAAGAAAAAAGTTTTGCTAATAATTTCGCCATGGTAAATCGAAACACTTAGATCAGTAATAGCAAAAGGAATGATAATAAAAATAACAAATCCTCTGGTGAAGAACAATAAGGGCCCTGCCTAGCAGGCCCCTTACGACATAGCCTGACCTGCCAGACTCCTCCTGTTTAATTCTGCACAGAGAAAGGGTCTGGGAACTCTCTTATTCAAATAACCCCACCCCCTGAGAATTCTAACCGAGCCAATCAGCACTGAGCAGCGTACGTCACACACCACAACGCCGAGTTTGTCATAAACATGGTGACTGAAGCGGAGTTCGCTGCGGCTCTTTCCTCTCTTCTAAATGGCTTGAACATCTTTAAAACCACAACAAGTAGAAGCGCTAAAAGCCTTTCTTCAAAAAAAAAGATGTTTGCGCTGTCACCAGATGCCATTTTTACTACAGCTAATAAACTATAGTGTCGCACGGTAACAGTCAGCATTTCCGTTATTTTCTGATTGGTTATTTTTGAGCTGCCTAGTCCCGCCCCTTAAGTGCCTCTCGGCCTGTGAGTTACAATCAATCAATCAATCAAAACTTTATTTATAAAGCGCCTTCCGCAACCCTGTCAGGAAGCCCAAGGCGCTGAACATGGTACAGTAGAAGTAAAAATATAGTGAATAAATAAAAAATAAAAGCAATTCAAAAATAAAAGCAAATTAAATTACTAAATACAAATACAAAAAATGGTGAAACATTCTAGTACAGGACAGGTGGGTAAAACAAGGGATAGAGTGAACCAATGAAAACAGTGAAAGATATTCAATGTAAAAGAGGGCCGAATCAAACATGTTCTGGAAACGCCAAGCGGAGGAGGTGTGTTTTTAGGCGACTCTTGAAGACTGGCAGAGATGGGGACAGCCTAACTGAGAGTGGCAACCGGTTCCAGAGTGACGGTGCTAGGACTGAGAAAGCCCGGTCCCCGCGAGTACGACACCTAGAACGAGGGACAGCGAGCATGCCTTGGTCAGAGGAGTGCAGAGTGCGTGATGGGGAATGTTTGTTCAGGAGCGTGGCCAGATAGGGGGGGAGCACCACCCTGGAAGAAATTGTAAACAAAGACGAAGATTTTGAATTGTGACTAATCTTGACCCTCTCCCATCTTCTCTACCCCCTCTCCCAACCCCTGACTCTTACCCTAACCAGTGGGAGCTGATGTTCCCAACACCCCCACCCCCACCCCCACCCTCCCCACCCCCGGTGGTGGCCTCTTTTTATTATAGTTTCTCCTAACCTGCGCGTGCCTCTGTGGTGACCCGGCTGGTGGGAAGCCTCCCCAATAGGACGAAGCTAAGGGCCAGAAGGAATCCAAGGTGGAACACTGTTTTGAACCTGAAAAGATGCTGATGAGTGAGTAACTTACCTGTGGAGACCATGATGCATTCCAAACAAAAGGTTAACTAAAATTAAAAGAAAGAACAAAATGAGTGTTAATTAGAACAACAACAACATAAATTGACAAAAATATTTTAAACACATAGACTATTCTAATATTAAGTTTTTAAAGAAAGAAAAAGAACATTCCTAAACAAGTCATAACATTTATAAAGATAAAAAAAATCTTACTTACCTGAAAGGAAACTTACGAACAAAACAAAGTTAACAAAAACTAATAAATTATGGATTA